CAGTGATGTACACAATGAAAGCATTTCAGATGCAATGCGGAGAAATCGGTTTGATTAAATAATGGCCTCAATTCATGTGGTTGACTTTTTGATTTTTTAAAGTTAGACCCATCTTCTCCGAACTCAATCAGTCATACAAAGTCATGCCATTTCAGGAATGGCTGTCGGTGGATGAGAGCATGATCAGATACTATGGTCACCATGGATGTAAGCAATTCATAAGAGGTAAACCAATCCGCTTTGGTTACAAACTATGGAGCCTTGCCTCATCCAGTGGTTACATGCATCACATGGAGCCATATGGTGGATCCGACACTCTCCTCCCTGAGACGGGGTTAGGTCAGGGACCCAGTGTTGTCCTTGGTCTTGCAGAGCAAGCTCAGGTGCCTCAAGGTTGCAAATTCATCCATGACAACCTCTTCACTTCTCTTGGACTCCTTGATGAAATGACAAAAAGAAGATATGGGAGCTCTGGAACAATGAGGCAAAATTGTCTGTTTGATGTCCCATTCAAGCCCCAGAAAGAATTCATGAAGTTATCTCGGGGAACATTTGAGGTTTTGACCCAAGGAAAAACCTCAGTTGCTGGTCCGTTGGAGAGACAATAATGTTGTCACAGTGGCAACAAACATGGAGGAGAAATACAGTGAGACCTTTGTCAAGAGATGGAACAAGGAGCGACGTACATTTGACAAAGCCCCACAACCAAGACAAACGCACTACCTATGCATGTGAGAAATGTAAAGCACCACTGCACATTGAGTGCTTCAAGATAAACCATGGACAGTAGAAAGGGAACTATAAGTGAATGCAAAGAGGCTGTAATAGCTATCAAAAACAACAAAGAAGACCCAATAAAGGCTGTGGAGATGAAGTACAAAGGACAAGTCCATGACAAAGTGGAAAAGTCTGAAATGACTGGAATGTTTTGGAAAATAAGTTCAAGTTAATCAATCAGTAGATTGTAGTTCAAAATAGTGATGCACAAACTAATCGTGCACTTGGTTCTAAAGCCTATGATATATATATATATTGCATTTTTGTTCAGTGTAGGACACCTATTCTACATGCTACCTTTTCTAAATGTTACCTTTTATGTTCAATGTGAATGAATCACACAACTGGCTGTACAGTTGTTTGTGAATGTTACAAATATTGCACTAAAGTAAAAGTTCAAATTTTACAACAGTTGTATAATATTCATGTTTCAATACATGTTGCACTAAAATAGAAATGTTGAAAAACGTTGATGGTTGTTCATATTGGTGTTGTATCAGGAATTTTGATGTGTAAAAAGTCTAACTAGAATTTGATGGGGATTGCCAGTGACATAGTTTTAAATGTGTAGATAACTAGGCTGGGATGTATACAAATTTGCATGACTGCATTGGAGAAGTATGCTAATTCAATATATGTATTTTCACGGCAACACATAATCCCACCAGTCACAATTGTGATATAAAACATAACATTTCAACTACTTTTCCATGAGTTTTTTTTTTAAAACAATGATTGATTTTTTCAAAGGGTTATTAATGACACAAGATTTGGATATTTTCATGTCTGGGAAAAATGTGGGATTAAATGGGTTAACAGGAAAAGAACCAGGAAAAACTCAACTGAAAAACATTCTGTAAGTATAGGTATAAGGAGGACTTGATCCCTCTTTAACCCTGCAAATGCCAGGAGCATATACTTCAGTGTCTCACCTTGTGTAATTTATGTCCCTTTAACTTTTTAATATTTCATATTTTGTTCTGAATGTTCAAGACTTTTGAATTTCAAAATAATTCACCTTGACCGAAAGATTAGGGAAAAAAAGTTCTTATTTGATTGCTATGTGTGTCTTTGTACACATGGGGTCCTTCTGTACCTTCTGTGGTATCATTAGATCTTCTTGTAGCTCCAGAGGGTAGGAGATGTTGAGCCGCCCTAAAGGAACCCTCACCTCCCCTAACACTGAGTGTCTGGAGAATTTATCAAAGTCCCTCACCTGAGATGCACAAGGAGACAGGACACTCAGTCATTTTACACGATCACACGTAAAAAAAAAAAAAGACATACTGTAGATTCTGCTTAGATGTTTTTTCTTCAACTGACTAAATACTAATTCCCTATAATTTGAGAGAAACTTAGAGGAAAGTGGTGTGTCTATGTATTTCAGGACCTCCATCCTGAGGTTGATGTGATGAAGCTGCTTTTCTTCTAGCAGAGGACAGCTGAACTGGTCTCCAAATAAAGGGTTACAGCTGCCTTTCACAATGCGAGTCCGGCATTCCTGCAGCACTTTCCACAAGACGGGTGCAGTCCCTTCACCCTAAGAAGGTCACAGAAGTCATCTATTACTCTATGAGAATGTGAAGGACAGTGTTATATTTTTACAAAGTAGGCCTAATGAGCATAAAAGGAGAAAACAAAAGCTGTATGTTTCCCAAAATCAAGATCTGTAATTTCTACAATTAATTAACGAGGTAACAAGGAATGAGTCCTAAAACACAGAAATTAGTTAAAATTCTAACACTTCCGGTTCCCTCGTCTGGAAGTCCATTTTTTTGTATTACTGTGTTTGATGTTAGATACCTAAAGTAAAGGCTGGAATCAATTCAAAATTAAGAGATTTTAACCTTTTGTTTCACCACATAAAATGTTTCAGTAAATGGTGAATATCCAAAGCTTGTATTTGTCATGAAAACAGTGGTAGCTAACAAGTGGCTAAATGAGACTACTCATCGTCACACGCCAAACATTAAGCGCCTTGAGCTTAGTGAATGGTGACATGAAGTCATGTGACCTTGATGTAGCCTAGCCTCACTTCTGACGATTGCATTTACGCTTAAAATATCCTAAAAGTGGAGATGATCCTGCTGAACAAAATGTGTAAATAGCATAAACAGTTGTTTGACACAAAGCTTATTTTACAATCTGGAATCCATTGAAACAATCCCATTCATTTTTGTCAAGGGAGCCATTAAGAAGCTAACTTCTGGGCCTACAAAAATACATCATCACTGCACCAGTGACATATTGTATGTGATAAGGAAGACAAAAGTTACCTCTTCGTCTGTACATTCTTCAACTTCCACTTCTTCTGAGTTTGACCACATGAGTCTTAGTTTAACAAATGGCTGGAGGATTCGCGTCGGGCTTTGCTCCAGAAGTCCCTCCACCTGCAAGATGGTGACCACCAGCTGGGACTGCAGTTGGTCATAATAGATGGAAAAGCGCAGCGTTCCTTCGACCTAGTACAAGAGGGTTTGTTTGAAAAGACACCATTAAATAAATGATGCTGTTAATGTTTAAAAAGGATATTTTTGAAATACAAATGTTTGGCTGCCAGTTGGTCCACACTTTGATCAACACACTTATGGGTTCTCCCTCTAGTGCCAATATGAGGTTGATATCTTTTGACATCTTGCAGTGGAATTATTTACTAATATTCAAGAATGACTTACCCTTAAGATTCAAACTATTCGACCAAATAATAATATAAATCTAATGACATTTTCATCAGCAACAGGTTTACTTTGTTCCGTTTGTAAAGCATGCTAAACTGAGATGGTTAACCTGGGTAATATGTTAAACCTGCTAAAAGTATTAGCATGATTAGCTTTACCATTGTTAGCATAACACTGCTGAAAACCCATTTATTGTTGCTTTTATTGTATTTTGTTTCTTTTGATCTATTTTTAGCTGTGTACAATTGTGTCTTTATTATTTAATTAATTGCTGATTGTCTTGTTTTTAATCTGGAAAGCACTTTGGTTAACCGAGGTTGTTTTAAATGTGTTATATAAATAAACTTGGCTTGACTTAAAACAATTTTGTTCAAAATCCCTGCTTTTCCATCTCTATTTAGGAGACATGATGAAGATGGATGTCATACAGATTTAAAAACTGCATAAGGCTAAGTTGCGGTACAATGAGAAGAATATAAAACTAACAAATCTTTATGCACATTTACTGTGGGATGCAAAATAAGCCGTCATGCATATAGCAATTTTTGTATATGTATTATTGTTTTGTTTTTTGGTGTCATTCAAGTAAAAAAGTCATAAAATAAGGCATGTTTCTTTGTTTTGGTTAACTTGTACTGCCTGTAAAGAAATTAGTTTGTACATTAAGCGAAGTAAATGTATTGACAAACCAAGTAAATAAATAACATTTAAAAAAACAAAGGATGCACCTACATTGAAATTATGAGACCTCGAGTAAAATCAAATTGTGAGAGAGCGTTAAACGTTTTTGAAGGTAAGAAGACATTAGATGAAGAGATTAAACAGGATTTGGAAAATTGTAGATTGATTGTCACGTGACAACAGGATTATAGAGTAGTGCTACCTTTTTATTGTTGGCCTGCTCTTCCCTCTTTCCGTCTGCCTGTACGGATCCTGAGGAAGGTAATGAGGCCTGAGACAGACAGCGACTCAGCCTGCGGACCTCTGTGTTGACATTCTCCACCTGGGGCGACACAAAGTCATGTAAACACACACACATTTATATCTGTGGTGTGTGTTATTCACCACAGCGCCTTCAGCGTTTATTTGACTTGACAAGTACCAACATCGTCTTTGTTCAAACAAGTAAAATTTAATCTTTATGTACACTGACAATGGGACCTATTTTGAGCATCAAAATCAATAGAGTCCAATCTTCGTCTTGTCAAAACAAAGTAAAAACTACACATTTTCTTTGCAAACAGCAGTCAGATGACAGAAAGGAAACAGTAGACTACTTCAATAAAATGTGACCGAGTTCACATGTAGTGGATAAACAGAGAAATCTCATCTGCACATACATGTTCTTCTATACAAAAGATGTCCTTCGGGCTAGGCAAGAGCTGACTGACCATTTGTATATGTACCAGTATTATTTCAAAATGCATTGGTACATATTGTTTGAAGTCATGTTTTACTTATTCCTAAAACCTTTCGTTGGAAATATCTAGAATTTACAGTATTTCTGTTCGTTTTTGTGTTAAATAATTTTTTTGTCAGTAGCTTTAACAGTTTTTACACTGTGTTTCCTGAGTATCGACTGAAAGGCAGCAAATATGTAAAAAGGTCGCCAACATCTGCTCTGATCCATCTTGCCCAGTTAAGGCCAACCTTCGACATCTATTACTTGTTTAAAAAATCTGGTCATGGCTAATATTGTACTGTACAGAAGCTGCTTTGAAGTGTGGGCATTCTGATACAGGCATGATTTATATATCCTGAGACCCAGCCACTGGGGCCTGTATTTAAAAAACTATGCATTCAGTCTATTTGAGTCCTAATCTATTGTGAAAAACACATCACAGGCTTTTTAGTGACAAACGTAGCACATCACGTCTTTTCAAAATGGAATAGAAGCAAGTGATCAAAGGCTATATTTGATTTCTCTTCAAAGGATGTTTTTTTAATTATTAACAAGACTCTTAAATGTTTATTTAGAAGTATGTTCACTTAAACCACATGTGTCAAATCAGGCCCTTGGTGGATTTAATTTTGGACCGCAGGATAATTTCTAATTACTATTCAATCTGGCCCGCCGGTATATTGCACGCACACCTTCACTCAATCCTGAGGATTCCCTCAACTCAGAGCCTGAGCCCAAACATTGATGAACTTGCACCCAAGATGAGATGCCAAGTATCTGGCTTGAACTAGCATCATAGAGCAGCACACTGAGTTTCAATGGATGTTTCCTTTTTGCACTTTTTTTCTTGCGACAACAGGGCATGTTTGGTTTTTTCTTTGAGGGAAATTGTTTTTTTGAAGCTGTTGTTGGCCTGTGGAAAAATGTAATCATAAGAAATGACTCTGCAGATAGAGCCATAAGAAATTAATGCAACTGATTATTTAATGTTTAATGTTTTTATTGGCAATCATTTAAGCATAGTTAGTTCCAGGTTTAATATGTGCAATAAGTTCATTCAATACGTTTTGCAATAAACATTGAACCAGTCTGGCCCTCGACTACCGATTTCAAAATGTTGGCCCACTGTGTATTTTAGTTTGAAACCCCTGACTTAAACCATTCAAAATGCATAGTTCGACCCAAGACTTTGCAGAGGACATTGAAACTTGTTTCTACAGTTATTTAGAAAGAAGTCTGATATGTATTATGTATCTTGTATGCACACACATGCCCACTCATTTTGTTTAAACAGATACAAACTTGCACAATACCCAGTTGATATGTTAGAAATGTTTAAAACAAATGTGTGTGATGTGTTTTTTACATTGCAATGATCTGTCTGTATTAGAAAACTATTAAAACATATTGAAAAATTAGAGTGGCATCAAAAGCGAGTGGCATTATAATTAACTTTAATACTGTAGGTATTATAAATTAAACTGTTTTAAAAATAAATATTATTATTATTGACCTAATGTCCAATGCCAGTGACAATATAGAAAATAAATAATTATTTAATTGATACATATCATATCATTTTTGTTTTAAATTGTGATGTTTCTCACATCTCAATTACTTGTTATAATACGTTTTTAAAGTATTAAAGAGTATGAAAAAATGATTAGAAGTAGTATTAAAAAGTCTAATGCCAGTGACATGTATATTTGTGTGATGTGCTTCCTTAATCCCAGTTACATTTACTTGCATTAAAAGTAGGTCAAAAAAGGCCATAGGAAGATATGTGAGATATTAAGTATATAATATGGTCATAAGAAAAGGTGTGATTATATTCTACTCTATCCACACCTACAATCCATTTCCTCTTACCCTGGTGCTTGGAGCTCCTGAGTAGATTCTCGCTGTCCCCGACTTTTCATTTGAGTACAGCTGATCATTGTTCACTACAGTAAAAGTCAGACACACAATTGCAATTTGTATTCCTTTCTTGGTATACAGCATTAGAAATGTGTGCTTTGTAATGTAATCCTATCTACTCACCAGTATCTTGCCGCGTGTATGTGGTGTATTTCTGTGAGCAGCACCTGAAGACCTGCCATACCAAGATACCCAGCGCCAGCAGTAAAAGAGTGACTGAAATTCCCAGGATGCAGTACTTCACCGTATCTGGGAATGGCATTGTCAGGTCCCCAGCAGCTGACAGTCCATCAAAATATACAAAACTATCCAACTCCATACCTCTGCAACACAGGAGGAAAGACGTGAGAGGACTATAGATAAACTATTAAGGAATACTGTCAGAATGTTGTAACTGCAAGTGAATAGCAACTACAGTATTAACACTAGCTTTCATTTTGGCCCACTTTACATATAGGAAGGATCCAGGACAGTAATTCAAAGACATGCAGGATCTGTACGGGAAATCTGTTTGACTAAAAACCCTAAATAGCCAAGTAAAAACGTATGCAATGTCACACAAGTTTACCAAACAGCTGGCTCTTGTGGGTTTTATATCAAAGAGACGTAAGAGGGAAAGAAACGGTGAGTGATGGCGCTTCTTCTCGCTCTACACACAATGCTGTTTGGCAGCATGGAAATGAAACTTGTGAAGATAAGGAGGTCAAGGAGGTGCAGCTTAAGTGGTAAGACAATTGGTTATTATAAGTAAATTACAATTAAAAAAAGGCCACATCTTTGAAGTTTCTCCGAATTATGATTACTTGCTGATTGTCATGTTTTAAAAGCTAAATACCTTCGGGGTTTGGACTGTTGTGTCAACAATTGAATACAGAGGCACCTTCTTCAATGAGACTAGTTCATTCAACCTTCATTTTGAGGAAAGCCAGTGAGTAGATTCACTTTTATAAAACACAAAAATATAGGCTTTCCTAAACTGTTGAATAAAAGTTTCTTTACAAAAGCAATGAGACTCAGTTGGTATCCCTTATAAGGGATATATACACCTTTATGTCCAAAACAAGTAGATCATCAGGTTAAAAATGCCTGCTGACTACTGCATTTGTAACAGTTGGATTATCGTTAGAGGTAAAGAAAACCGGTACGCCTGTGGCGTAGTCAGAAAGATTAAATGATCTCCTATCAGAAGTGGTTTAGTCAAATCGCATTTGTCAAACTCACACTGCATGCAAAACAAGATGAACATTGCAGGGGAAACCCACAGAGTTAGAAGTAGTATTTATATTTAAACAAAGAAAGTTGACGTAACACATTTAAACAATTCAGGTTTGGCAAAATACTGCCACCAGAGTTTTAAAAATGAATAAAAAGATAAATGGAGAAGACTAAAGGCAGCATTTCTGTTGCTGCTTATACCTGAGACCATTGACGTTAGCCTAATAGCATAATTGCCTATGTCATTTTTTGGCCAAATTGTGATATCTGCCTAACTTTACTCTCCTACCACTGCTGCATCGCCCTGCCTTATTGCCTATGTCCTCAGTCTATCAGAACGCATTTTTGAGTCCAAAATCACTATCTGCCTAAGTCATCCCTTTGACTTAGGCATTTTTGACGCTACATACAAAGATGGCGGACCGCATAAGACAGAGGGCTCTGCTGACCACAAGTGAAGCATTAGCTCTTCTTTTTGATTCATCTGGTGAGCTAGTGCATATTTCTTCAACTTTCTAGACACTAAATGTACTTTCAGTCAATCAAAGGGATTAGGAACTGTGTGTTTAAACTTTTAATCACATTTCTGCGACAAGGTATGATGAAGTAGCAACACTCAGCAACTTTATTTTCTTCTGCTTCAGGGTCAGGAAATGAACTTGATACAAATTTAGAGAAGGACTCAGAGAAGGATTTAGATGACAGTAGATGTGAGAAAGGAGGAAATGACATAGACACCGGGCAACGGATTGAAGAAGAAACAGCCGATGAAGCCTCCAGAGCTTATTCTGATCCTGATTCATGTTCAGAAAGTGAACACGATGGCTCTGTCTTGGATGAGGACTATAGACCTAAGAAAGATGACCGCCCAGATGATGATAGTGATGCAGACACGGCTCAACATAGTGAAGAAGAGGCTGCACTTGAAGCTCCCGCTGTTAAACGTCATAAGCGTCCAAGGTCACATATGTGGAAGCGACAGGTGATAAAAGAGAAGCGCCTTAAGGGGGAGAATTACAAGAACACAACGGGACAGGAGAGGCAGCCAAAGACCATGGGCCCACCCTGCACATCACAGCACTGCTTAAGGTCGGAGAAACGAAGTTGTGAACTGCTGAGTGAAGAAGAGAGAACGGATATCTTCAACAATTTCTGGTCCATGCCCTCCTGGGAGACACGCAAGCTGTATATCCAGACTTTAGTGGAAAATGTGCCTATAAAGCAGAAGAAAGGTGGTGTTGCATCAAGGAGAAAAACGTCCCTATCATACCACCTGCAACTGGCAGATAGATGTAAACTACCTGTGTGTAAGATTATTTTCTGTTCAACCCTTGGCATTGCCCCCAGAACCATCGGATCATGGTTAACTGTGGACATGAAAACCAAAACTGATCCGCCCAAACCCAAGATCAATAAGACTG